TGTGAGCGTGGAGGGAGCTGTCAAAATCGTTGTCTAGCGAAAATCAGTTTGCGAAGCAGGGACCAGACATTGTCCAGCGAAATTCCCCCATAGGAATCACTGTTTTGCGAATCACTATAGCTATCGCAGAAAGCCAATATCTAGCAAAAAAACTGTCATGCGGGGTAACTGTCTAGTGAGGCACCACTGTAGTTGTCAAAATTAACTCAGTGGGCCATCACTGGTGATACTTAGCTCAGCCTTCTGGCAGCTGACACACAGTATTTCACAAGTCTTGGTTTGTATCATTTATGCTGCTTAACATCTATAATCTATAGGCAGTGTCTGACAGAAATCATCCCAAGCTTTGCTGATGGGTATCATAAATAAGCCAATACTGTTTCCCTTGAGTTCTGTATTTCATTAACTAAGCATCCAAGATCAGTTTTTTCAATACACAAGGCTGTCGCTTAAACAGTCTGAAATTGAATCCACAGAAGGTGGTGGTACTGCTGATATAAAACTAGTATTTTACAGGAGGAAATATTTTCTTTGAGGGACTGATCAATAATCCTTATATCTGAGCAGATTAGGAATTGAGGGGTGCTCCTAAAACTGGCTTTCATCTTGGAGACAGAAGTCAGCACTTGCAAGATGCACAGTTAGAAGAAAATCCTTTTGGAGCAGAGGGATCTTCCGCACTGATCCATATATTTGGAACCTCCAGAACTGGCTATTGACTATTAATACATTGATGTCAAACTGATTGTGAAGATGGCTCAGAAGCTTCAAGCAGTATAGTATAGATACGTATATGTTTTTTCTTATAATACAGAAAGAACATATGCAATGAATGTGTTACTACTTGTTACTAGTAGTAACAGATTACTAAATCTGCTTCCAGTCTGAATTCAAAGTGCTATTTGTTTAATTCCTAACCTTCAGATTCATCCCACCTTAGGACTCACACACTCAGACCACTTTGTGTTCCATGGCTTGAGAATTAAATGCCTGTCTTTAAAAATATATATCAATGAACCTGGCCCAGTCACCTACCGTTTTGGTTAATCAGGTCACATTTTGAGCATTACAGGGAAACCAGTCTATCAAGTATGAAGCTGGAATCCATCCTTCTCCCATCTATCACATGTAGATTGAGAGTTTCACTCAGGGTGCAATCGGAGAGCTGTAAAGGCACACTCCTGACTGTACCGGAAAGGGTCACTTTGCAGGGAGCAATCTCCCTTGAAACAACATTTCCGTCCACCAGGGATTTGCTTAAGCTTAACCCTCTCCTCAATAGTAGTTGCCCTGCTGCTGGACCGAAAAGATCCAGCTTGGGCACAGTACAGGTTGGAGCACATTTCCTTGTATGTCATGTGTGATTACATGGGGAAATTGATCACACAACTGGTCCAAGACGCGATCAGTTTCCCCATGTGATCACACCCACAGTTCTCAGTTTTTACCTCCACAATCCTGGGTTCTTGGAAGGTGTTAGTGCCCTATTTTTTTTATACATGTTGGTCCTATTGTGTTTCAAATGTCACAGTGCTGCTGCTAGAGAGGAACACACAAACCCATATGACTACACTTAATTGAAGAATCCACTTACTCCTTCTCTGTTTCCACAAAGTCAAAACTCGGGATTTTTCCCTAAGAAAATTTGTCATCTACTGAACAATCATAGATTATCCTGGATCCTCGCAATTAAGTTTGAGAGTCTTCTTAAGACTGACTAGTGTAGGCCAGCAAAGAATAAAATGCATTTTTGTATTGCTATTTTACACTTCTCTCCTCTGAGAGAAAACAGTTTAGTTTGAGTTCAGTTTGAGTTTGAGTTTTCTCTTTAGTGAAATATCTGCACAATATGTTCTGTATTGTAGTGCTACTCAAAACAGTGGACCCATGACCACTATGGCTCCATTACTACATCAAAAAGGAGAGGCGGGCAGGTTGAATATTCAGCTGCTGCCTAAAATGCAATAATCTGCTCCTAGTCCTGATACCTTCTGGAAAGCACACATGTTTTGACTGTTACCACTGCGCTACCACTTCCTCTTTTATCAACCGGAAGGCTAGAATGAAATATAATGATGGGAGACAAATAGGTGCAATTCCCTTTTGTGTAAGAACTTCTCAAATTTCTTCATAACTGTAATGAAAAGAACTTGAGATTTAAAATACAGGAACGTTGGAGAAAGCAAAACTGACAGGTTCATGCGCAGAGGGCAGATGTCTTTAAGTGCCTCGCTTCTAAAACTCAGAATTCGAATCACTGTGTATTCAATCATGTTTATGGTAATGAATTAAACTGACCATTACTTTTCTTTTCTTTTTACTGACAGACTCCTCATCTTTCAACAGCTGCTTTCCCTCTGAGAATTGCTGTCCTACCGAGCACCTCCACTGCAAATGACTCAGAATTTGATTCATTTTTAAAAATCGAAACACACAAATTGATACAGAAACAGATGAAAGACTTATATGGGAGAAAGGAAAACCAGTCCATCCCTAGTTGTGGAGTGATTTATCTGAAGAGCTTCAAAGGTGATTCACTCTCAGTTGAAAAATGTTGCTGTTGTTTAATTGTTTAGTCATGTCTGACTCTTCGTGACCCCATGGACCAGAGCACGCCAAGCTCTCCTGTCTTCCACTGCCTCACAGAGTTTGGTCAAAGTCATATTGGTTGCTTCGATGAGACTGTCCAACCATCTTGTCCTCTGTCGTCCCCTTCTCCTCTTGCCCTCACACTTTCCCAACATCAGGGTCTTTTCCATAGAAAAATGTACCTGGTCCAAAAGGCCTCTAGGTCCTGCATTGCTCTGGTAAATAATTTTGGGAGTTTGAGAGTTGCCTATGGCATATGTGATGGAAGCTGGTCAGGGTCCCTTTCTATAGCAACTCTGTCATGCTTCCTTTTTTATCCTGAAGTAGGTGAGTTCAGGAAAGGCCTAGCTGGCCAAGTGGCTATGGAGTCTGTTGGTGTCTGTTTTACTCCCAAACACTCCAGTCTGGCAATGTCTCCAGGCAGTCTGAAAAAATATCCACAAGACTGAACACAGCGCCTTTCTTGAGAGGGCAATGCTGCTACTACATCCACATGGAAATGATGAAATCCTGGTAGTTTGGTCAAGGCAAGACCGAGTTTCAGCATCACAATCATCTCAGCCAAAAATCCAGAAAGCTGCTTGAAAGGTTTTTTTGTATTTTTATTAAAAGGAAAGAGGTTCAAAGTACAAAAATTCCTGAATGTTACAAAAAGGTTGGAAAAGATACGTAGCCAGACACAGAGACAATCTCAAGCTACTTAGGAGGATCACACCAGAAAACAACAAAAGCTAAACTTACATACCTAATACTCAAACCTTAGCAGAGTGGTGGTTTGGATCTGGGACATTTAGCTTCTCAGAATAGGAGGGGAAGTAAAGCCCCCTCTTTAGAGGCAAGCTAAATTAACTAATTAGTTTTGCTAATTTCCTTTTACACAAGTAAATGGGCCATTACAAACCTGTCGTCAACCACATCTTAAGTCACATTCATGTTAATGACAAGAGATGGGCATGAACCACTGAGCCAGTGGTTTAGGCCGGCTCATCCGTTGTACGCACCGGTTCCATCGTTTCCCAGCCCGGCTTCCTCCAGCAGGCACCCACTCAGAGGCAAGCCCTGAACATCCCTACCCCACTTCCTCAGGGCACTGTCTGTGAGTGGGTGCCCAACGGAGGAGGCAGGGCTGGGAAACGGTGAACACCCATTCAGCCAGAGGATGAACCAGCACAAACCACTGATTTGGTAGTTCCTGCCCATCTCTGTTCAGGACAACAGCATTTTCCTGTCCTTTTCCCTTTCCTACAGCTGAAATCGGCATCATCCTCAAGAGAAGAAAATGGACTGGCTTCATTCAAGTCAAGAGTTGGAGTGAACACATCAGATCACTTTTAGAGCCCCTTTGAAATGCCCTCTGATAAAAGATAAGCAAGGAACCACTAGTTCCTCTCTCAGTCCTGTCTTTCAATTGTTCAGTAACAGGACATGAACTGAAGGTGTGAATTGTCCTTTTGTTCTGGGTATATGCTGACCTCTACCTGTCCGGCCAGCTTCCCTGGTACTCACCACAGAAGTATCAAAGTATCCAGTAACTGAATTCCATATTTCATATTCCCCTGTTCTTCAATTTCTACACAGCATACTTGTTAGGGTTTTTTTTTAAACCCAACAACCCTTTTTAAAACCCTAACATTTATGATGCATTTCACAGTTAGGGTTTTTATAAAATTGTTTTTGTTGTTGCTAGAAACAGCTTTCAAATAACTAGGTGTTTCTGAAAACCTGTCTGCCTGATTCACACATCTTTGATGAATGCGTAAGAAAAGTGTGTGAAGAGACACACATTATCACAGAGCAAATATTTAAGATGAAGGAACAGGGCCAGACTCTCCAAGCCCTTAAGTCTTGAGTAGTTCTGTTAAAATGAACAGGACAGTTCCAACACAGTTGTGTCAAGCATTTCGGCTAACACCAATTTTGGACCACTGTAGTGGCCTGAAGGCTGAGAGAGTAAGGTTTCAGCAACGTCACATAGCACTATGGTTTGTTTCTGCACTGGGACAGAAGGTCTTAGGCCTGCACAATACATGTCACAACTTCTGCCTGCTCCATTCAAAAGACTCACCTGTCCATAGTTCCAGCTTCTGGTTTTTATACTTTCAGGGTCTCCATAGTAGATCACGCCAAGGTCATTCAGGACATACTCTTGTCTTTCTTTTTCATCATCCAGAAACACGTCATCCTCTGCATCAGAATTTTGTTTATAAAGTTGTATTAATGCAAATACTTTACATATAATAGATGTCAGGATTTCTTACTGTGGAATGATGCAACAATAATGAAAAGGCAGCTTTTTATTCATGTACCATACCAGTAAAGTAGCCTTTCTCCCTACACAATTCCCTGTAATCGGAAACCAGGCATACTTCAACATGAAAGCAAAAAAAAGGGGGGGGGGATGGCAACTCCTGACTATTTTGAGCAGCTCTGTAAAGCGTGATTAACATGTCACCTCTTATCAAGCATTTTATGACTCTGTGTTGCTAAGCTGAAGCATCTGAGTGCCGTGATGCAATTAGGCATCTGCGTAGGAGATCAAAGAACGATTTCTAAACTTCTTAGGCATCATGGAGAGCATCTTCGTGTCAAAATATTTAAAGACAAACTCAAGAGTGGGCATACATGTGGAGGAGGTGGAGGACAGTGGTAATTTTTATATGTAACACAAGTTTCTTAAAAATAATGTGATGATTTAAAAAGGACTCCAGATGACTAAGTAGGGAAACTTCCTTACAGTTGGATCTCTTCTGTTGCCTTTCAGCTAAGCTAAGGAGATGGGCCTGGGGAGGCTGACAGAAAGCATACAACCACAATCTGTGCTTCTGGGTGTGGATTGTAATTCCAGTGGAAAGCCAGTGATTTGAGATATTACTCTCATCTAGTCATATGTAGCTGATGATCTGGTTTGCTATCACCAGCTTTGAAGCTGCTGGTCATGGTTTTTCTTTTTCTTTTCAAAATTGTGAACCTTAGACACAGAACAGGCCCTGAAATGTGGTTCCTGTGGCAATATGGTGGCTGGTTGCATCTGTCCCATCTACTGCAATGGGAGGGGTGGATTTTGGCATACTGTGCTACCTGGAAATTGCCAGTCTGGGCTGTTTTGCATTACGTTGGTCTCTTGCCTGCCTTGGGAACTGGAACATGCTTCCTGATAATATTTTGTAGCTTCTTACATCATTCCCATCTCATCTGATGTGACAGGTAAATATCACTATTCTGGACTATTCTGTGCAATATGGATTTTCTGACTGATACAGATACTAGAATTTATTTATTTATTTATTTATTTATTTATTTATTTATTTATTTATTCATTCATTCATTCATTCATTCATTCATTCATTCATTCATTCATTCATTCATTTTCACCCTACCTTTATTCATTCATTCATTCATTCATTCATTCATTCATTCATTTTCACCCTGCCTTTCTCCTTGAAAAGGACCTAAGGAAGCTTAACAACATCAAAAGACAATATTTAAAGTTGAAAACAATGAGTATACAATGCTGGTTAAAGTCATTTAAAAACAATATTTAAAGCTAAGAACAATGAGTATAAAGAGACATCTGATATCATTAAAAGGCAATATTGAGGCTCAGAACAATAAGCTTAAAAATATTTTAAAAAGAAAAATGCCACTCTGAGAAATGGAAAAGACAAAACCGGAAAAGGTTTAAGTAGTACTAAAAATCCAGTCAAACTAGTCATGCATAACAATCTATCTAAAAATCACACTCAGGTACTGTAGCTAGTTACTGAGGTAAGGCTTGCCTGAAGAGAACAGTCTTTGCCTGCTTGCAGACAAGACAGCATAGATGGGGCCAGTCTAGCCTCCAATGGGAGGGAATTGCAAAGTCTGGGAGCAGCAACAGAGAAAGCTCTGTCCTGTGTGCACCTTTGAAGGTAACGGGATTGAGAGAAAGGCTTCTCCTGATGATCTTAATACCTGAGCTGGCTCATAATGGGAGATATGATTTTCGAGATAGCTTGGACCCAGGCCATTTAGGAGGTTATGTGCTCTAACTAGCCCCAGTCAGCAATCTGGCTGCTGCATTTTGGACCTGCTGAAGTTTCCTGACGCTTTCCATCAGCGGTCCCATACAGAACATGTAACAGTAATCCAGCTGGGAAGTAACTAGGGCGTGTGTCACAGTGGCCAGATCAGATATATCGAGAAACAGATGTAGCTGGAGCACTAGTTTTAATTATGCAAATGCACTCCTGGCCGCCACCAATGAATCCAAGAGCACCCCCAAACTGCACGTTTGTTTGTTTTTTTTCCAATGGGAGCATAATCCCATCCAGTACAGGCTGAATCCCTTTTCCTTGACCTGCCTTTTGACTGACCAGAAGCACCTCTGTCTTGTCTGAATTAAGCTTCAGTTTATTCACCTTCATCCAGTCCATTACTGATACCAAACACTGATCTAAAGCTGAAGCAGTTTTCTTGGATTTAGGTAGCAAGGAGAGGTAGAGCTGGTTGTCATCCACATGGTGACACCAAACTCCAAAATTCTGGAAATCTCTCCCAGTGGATTCATGTAGGTGTTGAATAATATAGGAGACAAAACAAAATTGTGAGGGACCCCACAGGTCAGCAGCCAAGGTGTTGAACAAGAATCCTCCGGCGCCACATTCTGAGTTATTTCCTCCAGGAAGGGCTGGAGCAACCATGAAACAGTGCCCTCAAATCTCATTCCAAAGAGATGGGTCAGGAGGATACTGTGGCCAATAGTATTTAAAGCTGCTGAGTATTGAAAGCCGCAAAACCAGTACGGATGCAGATCCCCGATCTAGTTCCTGCTGTAGGTCATCTATCAGGGCAACCAAAGCTATCTCTGTCTCATAACTAGGCTTGAAACACAATTGAAATGGATCTAGATAATCTGTCTCATCCAGAAACCCCCAGAGCTGAGAGGCCACAACCTGCTCTACTACCTCCCCAAGAAGGGGATATTAGACACTTGTTGGTAATTATTCAGTATTGTGGGGTCCAAACAGGGCTTTTTTAAAAACAATGGTCTTACTATTGCCTTCTTTAAGCATGATGGGATCCTACCCTCTTGCAAGGAGTCACTCAGCACTCCTCCTACCACCTTGGTCAATCCCTTTCTGGCAGTGTTTATAAGCCAAGAAGGGCAAAGATCCTGCAGACACGGGGTAAACTTCACTTCCCCAAGGATCCTAACCACATCATCAGGCTGCAGAAACTGAAGCTCACCCATTTAACACAGGGCAAGCAGGGGCCACAGTTACATTCACAGGACCTGAAACAGCTACAGCATCCAAGTCAGAGCACTCCCCTGCAAAGTGTTGTGCAAATTGAGCTACAGTGTGGTCTGCTTTATCATCCTGGGGCCCAGCATGTAGCAGGCCCTTGACCATTTGAAAAAGCTCCACTGGGCGATTCTGTGCAGATGCAATGGTGGCAGAGAAGAATGTCTTCTTTGCCGCCTCCACTGCCATGGAGTCAGCCTTCCAAAGGGCCCAAGCTCTTTTTTTATCAGATTCACTCCCCAAGTTTTTTTGCCATAGTCACTCAAATCTACGTCCCTCTCGTTTCATCTCCATCAGCTCCCCAGTAAAGCAGCCAGTCAGTTTGCCGCTACTTTGAGGAAGGAGACATTTAGGAGCAATCATGGGGATGGCTTTTGCCATTTCTCCATTCCAGAGATCAACCAGGGATTCAACAGAATCATCTGTCAAGGTGACAGGAAACTCCCCAAAGGCAGCCACAAAAACCATCTGGATCCATGAACTTTCTGGGGTGGGTTGCCTTAGTCTGACCCCATCACTGCAAAAGCTCTGAGTTCCAATGAGTTCAAATTGCACCAGATAATGGTCTGTGCATGACAATAGAACTACAGAAAATTCCTCTACACTCAAGTCACTGACATCTACAGTACACTGATACAGAAGACCAGGTCTAAAGTGTGGCCTGCAGCATGGATGGGGGCAGATACCTTTTGGGACAGACCTATGGTCGTAATGGAGGTCATGAAGTCTTGAGGCACCCCAGACAGAGCTGTCATGTCCCCCAGCATGACAAGACCACCTCTGATTCCCGCTCCGTTAGCTCTGGAAGAGAGGTTGCTATACCACAGGGTGGGCGGTACACCAAGAATGTAGCTCCTGTGGCTGTTTTGTGGCTTGCTGCATCAAACCCCTCTCGTCAGGTAGGATGGGTGAATCTCACTGGGCTGTTCAACTCAGAAGTTACCACAGGGGGCAGTTTTTCGCTATATTGATTTTCTGCCATTGAGTATATAATCAAGGGCATTCTACAGTGGTGCCTCGCTTAACGATTGCCTCGTTAAACGACGAAACCACTTTATGATTAAGTTTTGCGATCGCTGTTGCGATCGCAAAACATAAGTTTTGCGATTGCTGTTGCGATCGCAAAACAATGTTCCTATGGGGAAAATTTGCTTAACGATGATCGGTTCCCTGCTTCAGGAACCAATTTTTTGCTAACGATCATTTAGAAACAGCTGATTGGCGGTTCTAAAATGGCCGTCCACTGTGCAAAATGGCTCCCCGCTGTGTTTTCAGGACGGATTCCCTGCTTTACAGGCAGCGAAAATGGCCGCCCCTATGGAGGATCTTTGCTGGACGGTGAGTTTTCAGCCCATTGGAACACATTGAACCGGTTTCAATGCATTTCAATGGGCTTTTTCATTTCGCAAGACGATGTTTTCATGGAACGAATTAACATCGTCTTGCGAGGCACCACTGTATTGTAAGGTAAAGATAAAGGTCTCCCCTTGGCAATTTTTGTCCAGTCGTGTTCGACTCTAGGGGGCCGGGCTCATCCCCGTTTCCAAGCCATAGAGCCAGGGTTTTTTGTCCGAAGACAATCTTCCGTCGTCACATGGAATGCTGTTACTTTCCCACCGAGGTGTTCCCTATTTATCTACTTGCATTTGCATGCTTTCGAACCGCTAGGTTGGCGGGAGCTGGGACAAGCGACAGGAGCTCACTCCATCATGTGGATTCGATCTTACAGCTGAAGATCTACAGACCTTACAGCTCAGAGGCTTCTGCGGTTTAACCTGCAGCGCCACCACATCCCTTACTATTGTAAGAACACACCCTAAATAAAACTAGGCCGGAGGAGGCATAGCGAATCAGTTTTTCTGACAGCCAAACTAACTGTGGTACTAAAAGCATCACTTCCAATAAGGACAATGGGAAAAAATGAATAGAAAATTAAAATAAAATATAACAAGAAAAAATAAAACAAGAGAAAGGTTGAAGGGACAGTTTTCTCTGGGATACAACAAATAGTTAAGGGAGGTTTAAATTCATCTTCTTTGCTATGGTCCTGATGAAATTAATCACCTAAGCAATATTAGCCTCAGTAGGGAAGCCTCCATTGGCACCATTAGCAGGAGCCAAGGCAGAGGTGTGGAAATCTCATCATGACTAGAGGGGCAATGAAAACGCTTCTATTCCCCTCATCTAGATACTTCTGCTGTGCAGTCCTATTATTTATTTAACTGGCATGTCAAAGGTTTAAGCATCCTTCATTTCAGAGAGTGGCATGACAAAACCACCAGACTACCAGTCATTCAGGTATAACGAGCAAATGGCTTGTGCGCACATCAATATCATGCAGCACCATCACACAGACATTTATCTGTAATCTTTATCTACATGTCTGCACTTATACACATAGGATTCCAAAGAGGGCTATATCTGTGATAGCTGAAAAGCCAGAAGCAAAACTATCAAAGCGTATTATGAGAGGGAATTCTGACAGATAGCTACAGGTTGTGGGTTCCTGGCCTTATTAATTCACAAGGCCTGGCCACTTCCTAAAGTGCAATTCACTCGTATGAATGAACTTTGCATTATTTATTTGGTTTGCATGACCCCATACTGTGCTAGGAGTGTCTGGGTTGGGTGTAGGTGTGGGTGTGTTTTCAGCTCTGAAGTTTCAACATTAGTTTGCACTTCAATGCTGCATGTGCTTCACAAATATTTCTAAAACGAGGTGGAGACTAATGAATTCACTTTGTTAAATGTACTAAAAACCTTTTTGAGAAAGGAAACATATTGTAGAAAAGGACTGTCTTTTTTGGCACCTGTTATTGGATTGCGAAGCAAATCAGGAAATCTGATTGTAAGTCCCCTAGAGGTGGTTTTTATGTGCTAATTAAGCAATGCTACAGGGAAAGAAGACAGATTTCACAGATCTAATAGTCATTGTTTTAATGAATACAATCAATTAGCTTCCACCATGAAAGCAACGTTTCTAGTGATCCTGGGAAAGTATGTACAGCTAGCTTCAGATTTGGGTGTGTACAACCGGGTCAGTGGAAAGAGACTTCCCTGTCCTCGCCTTCCTGCTACAGCCTCCTGGTAATGCTAGACAGTGGGCCTGGGGTGAGTTGTGGAGGAAAGAAATCCTCAAAAAAATGGGGTGGCAGGACCATCGGTGGTGTGGAGCCCTTCTATTAGCAGAAGGCAGATCCTGGATTCAATGCAGCATGTTTTCACGTACCCCCAATCTAGAGAAGACTGTTCTTTGACAGACATTTGCAGTGAAGTGTTTGACATTACTGTACAGCAGCTCCTCTTTGCCTTGTCAGAAGCTTCTTCTGAAACCCAGGGGAAGTGTGGCACAGGGAGGCTGCTTCGGAGAACTATACACCACTGATGAAGCATGTCTAAGCTAGCAACATGATGCAAGAGATCCATGCTCTGGGTCACCTGTAATTTTCTTTTTCAGTAACAGCAGCTGTGCTCACCACCACCACTGCAGATAGATCAGAACCGTGGTGTTGAGAGATCAGAAGGCTCCATTCCCTCTCCCCTCCCTCAGTTAATATTGTGACATTAATAAGTTGGAAAAGAATAAGATTGTTATGTTTGGATGTGTATTCAGAGCAGCTTTATACATTAAAAAGCATTATAAGGGTATATCTATGAACAGAATCATTTGTATAGTTAATAATGGACACATATAAAAATGGGACGTCACTGTAAAGCCGTAGTCAATGTAAAACCTGGAAGGGGGCCACTTCATTTAGATCGCACAAGGCCAGTTGCAACATGTGGTACAACCAGCCTGGCTATTTACTTAGTTATTTATCAGATTTACATCTTGCCTTTTTCTCCAAAATATGACTTAAGGGTTGACCAAGATAGAGTGGACTTGTATGTGCCTATGTCAACAAAGGTTAAACAGGATTCAGATGAAAGGCCAATGTGCACATGCCATGCATGCCAAAGGTCTCAAGTTCAGTCCCTGGTATCTTCAGGCAGAAATAAGGAGGGGAGTAGGGAGGAAAAATGTCATCTTCTTTGAAAACCTGGAGAGCTGCTACCAGTTGACATACAGATTTTTTTTTACGTACATATGTATGAGATCCTGGTTATGCATTACTATGAGGTGACGTCCAATGATGCATGAACAAACTTCTACAAGTTCAATGGTGCTTTCACCTTTTCTCCTTCCACTGTAGCCCTCTACAGTACATATGTGCCCACAAAATCTGAGACTGGGGGCCTCTCAACCTTCCAGAGCTCATTTTGGGCAAGGAGAAGACTGCTGATTGGTGTCATTCCATCAGTGGACAGACACATCTGGATTTTATCCATGGTCCATTTGACATACGGTGGAGCTGAGCGATTGGTTACATCTCTGTATCATTCCTACCTCTATAATGGAGGGGAGCAGATATTAGTGACCAGCCATGGAGTGCTATTCTAAGGAAGCTGAGATCATGAATCTAGATTTGGTATAGAGGAACATGCTGACTAGATAGCTCAGTGAGTTGGAGCACCAGGCTGTGGAAATGAAGATGAGGAGTCCAATTCCCCTCTGTGTCTTGTGGGAGACAAGCCAGCCTGCATGGTCTTGGGAAAGCTACATGGTGCCAGAGCAACCCCAGAAGATGGGAATGGCAAAATGCTCCTGAAAACTTTATACCTAGGTAATCTTGAGAAGGGTTGTTGAAGATAAATAACTTGGAGAGCGACAAAGCTTGAATCAGATGAAATTATTAGGGCAAGCTTTCCACTTTCGTTATACCAAGAATTTTGAGGTGAAATGTTGTTTGTGCCTTACCTGGACACCAGGGGTTGAAGAGGATATATGTATCTGTGCTTGGGTTTCGTTTTGTCCGCAAGATGCCATTCGGAGTCAAGACTGCAATGTACATGCGGAATTTTCCCACAATGCAATTTGCAGCTGGCATGATATTCAGGGCAACAAACTGGCCAGCACTATGGGTGATCTTAGCACCCCATTGCCCACTTTCCAGCTCTTGAACCAAAGGGACTCGGATGTAGGTGCCTTTGTTTTGTTGTGGATAGCGTCCTGCAGAAATAGGGGAAGAAAGAATGGGAAATAGTGCTGTAAGTAAGTACTGTAGATGAATAGCTGTCTTACATATTTTTCCTTCCCAGAAAGATTTTGGCCAGGGGTTATCCAGTATAAAATCCATGGTACTCCAGTACCCATAAGAAGGGTCTGCCAGTAAATTTAATCTCCAGCTTTTGTGACATAGGGATTGCCATGTGCTGAATGCTTCTATTGTCAGCCAACAGAGGAGTCATTTAGTTCTACAGAAAACAACTAAGAATCCATTACATGACTGACATCTCCTTGTTTATAGAGATGGTGAAAGAAAACTGACTATCTCTCACACACTCACAACTGGCTTCTTCAAATTTGCAGATTTCATTTTAGGTCTTTTAACTACAGATCCCGGAGCATAGCACCTAGCCAGAATGATTTGCGGACTTTTCTGTTTCTCTGCTGGTCTCCCCAAGCTCTGCAATACCCATTCTGAAGAAGAATAAAGCCGCCTAGAGTGGTCGTTTGACCAGATAGGCGGGATATAAACAAACAAACAAACAAACAAACAAACAAACAAATAAAAGAGTCCTGTTTTTGGCATTTTGGCTATCTAGTAAGGTATTAACCATCTTTATTGTGGGAGTGTGCATATATCTCTCATTTAGTAAAAAATAAGAAATACAGATCTAATATTGGTACAATTTAGCTTTCCCATGGAAGCTTGCCCTGTATGCCTTTTGTATGGAAAAATGGGTGAGAGGTAAAGGAAAAGGCTAAGCAATAGAGAACTTGCTTTGAAGCATACAGTGGGCTCATCCACACAAGGTATGTGGCTCAGACTGAGATGGGTTGGAACCATGGTCCCTTTCCTCGCACAGACTTCGAACTGCTAACTCCAAGCTTCTATTTCTGTTAGTCAGTTTTCCTTCAAGTAATCTGGATTCGTTCAATTTCAAATTCGACACTATCTTCCTCCTCCCCCCTCTCCCCCCTTCCCTCTCATGCCCTCCCCATTCTCTGCCCTGTCTCCACCCGTTGTCTTTTCTGTCCCTTCATGTTGCCTTCCACCTTTGCACAGGAAGGAAGGAAGGAAGGAAGGAAGGAAGGAAGGAAGGAAGGAAGGAAGGAAGATCAATAACATATTTAGGAAGACACAGTAAAGGGCACTTCAAAGTGGGACTTCAAAGGGAATAAGGTTTGGAAGTGGTGGTCAAGATGAGATGCCAGGGGCTGCTAACCATTGGGTCTGTGAGCTGAATGCAGACTTGTTCTCTCAACTGTTGCAAGACTTGATCTTTCCGCTTCTCTCCTGTCAGTCCTTTGCTAAAGCTCTGATACAGCAGAATGGGCAAAACAAACCCAAAAGAAAAGCCTACAAAAATACCCTCCTCAAATGTCAAAAAATCAACGTGCTGAACATGAATATTCAAGAAAAGTCTTGATATGGGAGAAAGCTAAGGAATATATGTAGTTTCCCTTTCAAGCTTTACATATCTAAAGACTGTTAAATAGGTGAAATTTATAGTGCCAACTTGTTAATGCCTCTAGAGAGCATGCATAAATACACGCAGCGATGATGGATGCCAACTACAGGTATGTCCTATGGTCTAAGCTCCTTAAAAGGATACTGCTGTTGCTCCTCTGAAGCCCTGTATGCTTTGAACTACATTCGAGACCACCTGTGTGTGATGCTACCTCCTTCAATTTTCAGTTCTTTTCTTGAGACCCATCACTGATGCAGTACTTAAGTCATCATAGTATATTGTACTATGATCATTCATAGCATTATAACTTGATGATGCATAGCACATTTACAGAAGAGATCCTCTTTCAGGCTGTGAAAGGCATGTATGTGTTCCTCATACACAAGATTTTCATTGACTAAATACCTTGTCTTTAGCATATTAAAAGGACACGGAAAAAGAATGTGAACTCATTTGAGCATCCCCTGGGCAATGACAGTAGCTGTCGGCTGAATCAAGAACACAAAGAGTTCTTTCCTAATTAGGGCTTTTCGATCCAAGCTTTTCTCACTATCTCTTTTGAACACCTCCAGCCCACAATGGAGACCCAGTGTGGTGCTGTCATTTGCATTGGACGAAAACTTTGGTGACCCAGGTTCTTTTCTTCACTGAATCATGAAACTTGCTGGACAAACCGGGAGAGTCACTTTCTCTCTCACACACACACACACACACACACATACATGCACGCACACACACACACACGCGCGCGCACACACACACACAAATATGAAAGCTACAGTTTTTCTATGCTTGCAGTGACTGGAGAATAAGATATTAATAAGATACTGGTTTATTTTTTTAAGTCTCCTTTAGAAAGGTCTGGATGCAAGTTGATTTTTTGTCTTTTATCTCAGACAGGTGTGGGTCCAGAACTGATGCCCCCTCGTTGGCACCACAGATTTTTAATCTACGGCTATGGTTCAGTGGCACCAGACAGACATCTAATAAAAGAACTGCAGTTCCATTGGGTTGTAAAACCTGCATCTTCTATCCCCACCTATGCACAGTGATAAGAACTCCAGAGAACCAAAATACCGCAAGGAAAAAATGGCAAACCAATTTATGAGTTTCAAAGTGCAAGAGAATGTAGCTTTATTTTGGTTGCTGATGGGGAGGGAGACTTTGCAGAAACTTTAATCCCTGGCCTTTTTTCACCTTACGTGAATAAAAAAAGCTAATTTCTTTCTTCTTTTATTGCATTATATTTGCTTTTAACATTGTGATGTATACTTTCTTTAGATTAAAAATATAGGCTTCAAATTAGAAACAGAGTGATAGAATGGTTGGCCACAACACAAACACAGATGGTACTCTTTTGCCACTATACAACACCAATTCACTTTGGAAGGGCTGCACTAAGACAACACCAGACTTCCAGGGAAAATGTTAGGTCCGGGATGAGGAACCGTAGAAGGGGGGAGAGACTAGATTTTCTGAGCCTGCAACCCTTTGCAGGATAGTGGGCCTGCACTCTTTCTTCATGAATCCTTTTGCTAGCTGAGCAAACTCCTAGTTAAAGAGGGATCCTCTTGTTGGTACAACTGCTGAAGTGCTGGATCCCCAAAAGGTTTGGCAGGGCATGCTGAAATCTTTCAAGTGGTAGACTCTCCCTTTGCCTTCAAGAACAGAATTTTTATCTTTCAACAGATACACCTGGGGGAAAAACAGCTCTACCGCATTAGAGCACTTCCAGTGTCACTGAGAACCACAGAGGCTATTTCCAAAGCTTTATTGAAGCCTTAATAAATGGAAGCAAAACTTATTTATTGTATGAGGTATTATTCAAAATAGTTGAAAAACAAACCTGCACCTAAAAAACAGCAATCCATCTTGCAACCTACCCACCCCGCCAAAGCAGTAGATGACATGAAACCTTTCTGTACCAGCTTCCGTCTTACTATACTGTACTTCCTGCAAACATTCCCATTCTGTGCAGTCATTCATCTAGTGATGATGAATGGAAAAGAGGAGAGGGTCCCTAAGCATGAGACCAAGTCTTACTATACTTCCTGCAAACATTCCCATTTATGTGCAGTCATTCATCTAGCGATGATGAATGGATAAGAGGAGAGGGTCCCTAAGCATGAGACCAAAGAGGAAACATTGGCAGGTGCGGTAAGTCCCTCTCCCACAACTGTTACTGAATAGCACAGGTGCAAGAAGCCTTGATAAGGCATGTGGTACAACAATTTCCATCAGTCCTAGCAAAGGACTCATGGGTGTTACAGCAAAGAGCAGTAACTCAAGTGTTCTGGATGGCAATTCCCAGAAACCCCATCCAGCACAGCTACTGGTGAAGGGTTCTGGGTGTTGCAGTCCAAGAACACCTGGGTTACCCAAGGGTGGAAAACAATGCTCTAGAACAGTGGTTCTTAACCTTGGGTTACTCACGTGTTTTTGAACTGCAACTCCCAGAAACCCCAGCCAACACAGCTAGTGGTGAAGGCTTCTGGGAATTGCAGTCCAAAAACACCTGAGTAACCCAAGGTTAAGAACCACTGCTCTAGAAAGCTACACATTTTCTCATCTTGAGTGTACATGCTTCTCAGGAGGCACACAAAATGATTGCTTTCTTTGCTTTTGGTTACAGACAGACAGACATCCTCACACTCCATCTGACTAACGAATCTTGAACTAATATTTTTCTCTGTTTAACTTACCCAGGACAGAGGGAGACATTGGCCAGAATCCTACTGGCTAGTTACACAGGCATAAGTGCAGTGGTGTAAATTACAGTGTCAAACTGCTGTTAATTCACAAGTTTCTCTTGAGGCAGGTTTTTCTTTAAATGACTGGTTTGACCGAGGAGATTTTTAAAGCAAGTATTTTATTCTGTTGTTTTGCTTGTGTTTTTCATATTGTTCTTTAATGCTTTTAAAAATATTGTAATATTTGATTATTAGTCTTGTAACTTTGTTTCATTTAATACTGGTAAGCCGCCTGGCATCCTTTGGGAGAGAGTAAATAAATAAATAAA